ACCAGAAATGACTGAAGCAAGAATGGACATTGGATGTGCGCCTGGGACGAACGAATTGATGAAATCCCGAAGCCGGTTGTGTAGAAGCGTTTCGTCCTTCACTTGGCGTTCGAAATTTCTCTTGGCAATCGTTGTAGGGAGTTCACCGTATAGGAGAAGATGACAAACGTCCAGAAAATCGTGATGAGCGGTTAATTCATGGACTGGATATCCGCGATACAGACAAACACCCTGAAACACAAAAATACTGTGGTGGAATACAATCTCTGATTGTACCTTGTCACCATCAATATACGTAATTGCCGAAGCACAAGAGCATGTTGAATTGAAGCCAGGATCAAACATGAGAACCTTCTTGAGTGAATACAATTGCCGAGCATCCAAGATCGTTGCATCACCCATCGTTTCTCTATAGACTTGAAGTTCGATAGCGTCTCCATTTGGAAGAATCAATTTTGCCGTTTCATGTTCTTCGGCTTCTTTTTCATGTGTGACACTTCTTCCCACAGATTCAGAATTACATTCGGTACATCGCCGAGATGATTCCACTAATGACAACTCGGAAGTGATGGTTGACTGGTCAACATCCTTTGATTGAACGGAAGGGGGGAGTTCGCTTGCGACAGTCAGCATGCTGCTAAGGTCGCATGATCCCCACTCTAGTTGAGGAGTTCGGCTCACTGACAACCTTTACTGTTCCATTTTCGACAGTCAGCATGTCTGAGAGGGTTCCCTTACAAATGTTTATGCGTCGTTAATTGACTGACTTCGGAAACTAAGATAAGAATTTATGAAACCCAAATAGTGAAGAGAGTCCGTTGGGTTACGACCAGGAACGGGAAATGGTTTGCATGTCTGTCTCTCCAGGAGCACTACCACCAGTCCGCTTCTGTTCAGGGGAAATTTGGGATCAACTGAGAGTTCATGGGAAGTTTGGGGGCATCAACTGATTCATGGGACGTCATCACAGACCATAGTTCTGATCAGAAATGCGAATTGTTTTGCATGCCTTGAAGGCTTTCCGTGGACACAGTCTGTCCCCGAAACTCTAGCCATCATGGAAGAATAGGTGCAGCTGAAGCGACCTGCAACAGGTTGTAGGGAGTAATATCAAAACATTAGCGTGAGAAACGGAAGGAGCAAATCTCCCTGTAAGCGTGCTAATCGTGAAGCCACAGAGTAGTCTAATGTTTGTTCTCCTAGACGCACTACGAGACCTCCCTACGAGAACACAATACAAAGGGTCTTTGACGTCTCGAAAACTGACCAGGATCGAAGGTGAGACCGCCGTATTGAAAGATGAGCGTGTTTTTGGCATTTCGTTTTAGAGAGTGCTCGTTCCACAGTTGCCTGCTGTTCCGCATTGAGAGCCTGAAGAGAAGAGAGAGGTCTTCATCGAAAAAAGATGAGTCACTCACTGAGGCCGACGTAATTAGGCACTTGACTTCGCCACGTGAAGCGCGATAGAAATTTTCAAATGAATCGATCATCTTCCGCAAATGGTTGAGACGCCGATTTTCAACAAGCAGATTCAGAAAATTTGTTGTTGTTTCCGTTAACTTGAACTTTTGAGAAATCACTTTAATCAAGTCAACCTTTTGTGCAATGCTAACACCTGGGGTCTCCAGAAATAGTTTGAAATCCTTAGATTCTGCAACCAAATCAAATTCGTGTATGTATCTCCAATAATTTACCAATCAAGCAACTTCTAAGTGAAGAGAAATCCTCCCAAACATCATTCAACACATTTTGACGGATGCAGACTCTGTACAACGCTGTTGCGTAGCGCCCAGGGAGGGTGTAGTCCTCATGGCTGTGATCAATCGGGGTGGTAGTACAATCACTTGCTTTAGTGGTGGATTTTATGAAGTCCGATGAAGGCGGAGGCCTAGTAGGAATTGAGGAGAAACGGCAGTGCTGCAGACTAGCGGGACGCAATAGGCTTGAAGCATAACAAAATGATTGTAGCTGTATTCGTTTCGTGATTCTATTCATTCTTGCACCAACAGGTCAGACTGACGTGCGCCAGATTGGCAGATGTGCGACACCTTCATTTCTGTTCTCCGCATTACGGACACATTTCATAAAAACACAAAAAATTCGACTTAAACTGAGGCGCCCTCCTGGGAGTGATATGGGTTGAATGTCTTCGCTCGATAGACATTCCAGGCTAAAACAACCATGCTGATAGAGAAATAATGCCACACAACGTACCACCAATACCACAAGCACAAAGCCAAAGAAGAGACTCAGTGACGATGGCAAACTTCCAGAAACCTTTGATCCCTCCTAAACAACAGCTGATGCACTTCAAGCGTTCTGGCTGAAGCATTATTACCTGACACATCCGTTTTTGTGCATGGTGGCGAACGTAATAAATCCATTAAACGCGCCAGATGGAATAATTGCAAAAAATGAAAGAGAGACAGCTCTGACAAAAAAAAATATTTTTACTAGAGGAAGTACTTTACTTACGAGGACTCCTTGAAAGATGAAGGAACTTGGTCACTGACTGGGAAGTCGCGGTACTCTTATATCCCTCATAAAATGTGTACCTAAAAAGTTTGGAATTGCCACTCCATCAAATGAATTGAACAGACGGACCCGCTCAACGGTACAAGAATCAGAATATTGAGAATCCCATAAGCGATACGAGTCCACCTAGCCCCACCACTCTAATGCAGATCAGCTAAGGCAGTGGAGGACTTTTACAACGTACCACTATCACACAATTATCTATAAATCCCAGAAGACAGACCTAGCGACGGATGTGTGAAAGACAATTGAACGTCATACGCTCACCACACATGTTATGATGAAGACAGAGTTGATCAATCGAACAACACGAGCGACAGGCTTTGGAAGCTCATTGGGGTCATAATGAACAATTCTTAACAGTGGTGGATAGTTCAAACTCCACCACTCGATAGACGTTTGTGGTGAAGCCTCCCTCAAGCCTAAACAAATAAAACAAGACGTTTTTATTCACTGTGATGCAATATACTGACCTCCAGTCATATTACTCCATTCTCGCTTTGCGTCCCCAGTAACATTTTTAAACGCTGCATTTGCCATGAAAGCCATTCTGCCGGTCAATCAGTCCCCATTTCTGTTTGTCAGCGCGGCGTTACAACGGCATCCGATCTCTGACAATCCGTTGACCTTATTGGAAGTGCCCACTTCGCATAATTGTCACTCACTCACTCAGTCAGTAATTGCCACTCCCTCAGCCAGTTATTGTGACTCACTCAGTCAGTAATTGCCACTCCCTCAGCCAGTAATTGTGACTCACTCACGTCACTCACTAAGTATTGTCTCGTGTTCTCTTTTACAAGCAATTAAATCATGCAAACATAACATTAGAAATCATCGATTTGTACTTTAAGGCTCGTAGCATTTTATTAAAGAAGATTATTTTTGAACAACATTGGAGGTCATTTGTATCTGACTCCACTGGTTCAAACTAAGCATCACAGGCGCCACCTCTGTGTTGGAGTCGTGTTTTGGCACAGCACTGGTCCAGGATTAACTGTTGACGATGTGGACGTATGGCTATTGTCACGGGTTCCTATCCAATCAGTTTTCAAAGAAGGGATTACATTTTCGGGAGGTTTTCCAAAATCTTTTCAATCTAGAACTTCATCTCTTGAACCTAAATGGTGGAGATGACATGTCCAAATTGACTTTCCAGAGTGCTTTTGCAGGTATTCATAGATGCATAACGCGCCCCATAGACGTTTATTTTCAGCCATTGATGAATTGTACAGCAAGCACACTAATCGAAAACTTCGACTGATTGGATCCTCATTTGGCGGACAGGCTGTTGGTAAATTTACAAAACATTGTGATCTCCATTTTTCTTCAAGCATCTTATGCCTCCCAGCATCCTGATCGTGTGGATTCAATTATTCTTCTCTGTCCTGGCGTCAATATCGCTGAAACGTTGGAGCGTCTGGTGAGCCGCGCGAATTAAACTTCTAAAATTTCTGTGTAGGTCTCTCTACAAGATCCAGAAGGAATGAATATGTGGAAAACTGCTGGATTTCTTCCTTTTCCCTCTCCCCTACACCAATGAGCCAATTGCAATTCCATATTCGTTTTGGGAGATGTGCAGATCATTCCCCCTTATCCACGATATTCATGCCCTGCAGCTCTTATCCATGGGGAACGTGACGATGTCGTCTTACTATCAGACATTCAACTCTTTTTGGAGAAGGTACCTGAAGTTTTTCTTCGTTTCTTATATCAGGTTCTTATTTGCAGTGCCGAAACAGAGAGACATCACTCGGTTGGTAGTTGTTGACGATGATCACAATCTCTTGCGGCCTGAAACCCTTTCAATGATCCATGCGAAATTGAAAAGAGTGTTTTGATCTTGGAATCGCGACAATAGAATCGAACTTTCTTATCCGTTCGCTTTTTTTTGGATATTGCACGAAAATACATCCTTTTGGATGTCACTTATTAGATAAGAACCAACCTATGCTTGCATAGTTATTTGCTGATCCATAATAAGCTCGGGAATCGCATGGCATCTGCCGGCGATATTCCACTTGAGTTTTTATGACTTATCAGCTAGACGGTAGGGTATTGTCCGTTCATGAAAAATGGAATTGGGGAAAAATCCAGACCTTCGTTTTCATCAGTGTCGCCAAGCGCAACCAATTTGTACTAGACTTTGTTCGAGGATCTGATTCTGACACTTTGGGTAGATTGTCATGGCCAGAACCAGTAAAGACATTGGATTGTGCCATTGCCACACAAACCATTGGATTTCATGTTGTTTCTTCTTTCTTCTATGCCCTCGGTGATTGCAAGACACAATGCGCAACATTTCAGCGCAACCACTTGACGCAAAGTGACCTCCATCAACTGTGTTGAGTTTTCGAGGTTCGAGGAATAACAGCACAAAGAATTGTTGGACAACGAATTGTCCTCAAACAAATTCAAGATTTCGGCGCAATCTCTACACATGACTCTTTAGAAAAAGGCGAAAGGATCGTATGCTTTGTTGAGGTTGCAGAATATAATAGATGGGAGGTACTCAGACCTCTTGGAGCGAGCTCACGTCTCAACAACTGAACCCATTTTCCATGAAGGGAACGGCTACCTGATTCCTTGCGGAAGATGAACTTGAACTTTGTTTGCGCTGAAACTCATAGCTCTACCCGCCCTGCGCTGGATTGGATAAAAAATGGCTCGGCTCTCTGATGCAATGGTGTTCACAAGGTTCAGATTGATCAAATTAAGAAAAAGAGTATCGCAAGCATCAGCAAGGCGAATCCTGCGCTGGGATAGATCGCCGATGACGGGCACTTTTTTTTATCGACAAACCAAACACCTTTGCGATCTTCACAAAATGACTTTCGGGTGCTCGCTGAAATACGAATGAATGCCAAATGAGACAGGGAATCTATCTCTCACCGAAACATTGACCTCCAACAGCAAGAACGTCCGTCTTCGAAAATTGGCACCACCCTCCAAGACGGTCAGCGCACTCAGCACAAGTGTCCGCAGCAATGCATTGAGAGGCCTTCACAGGAATCACCACGGAAAGAGGCCCGGCATTATTACAGCTTGTTGACTTGTCTGAGCAAAACCCTTGCCCAAGGCTTGCTAAACAAGATGAAGTCAAAATCGAAATTTCAGTGGCAGGTCTTACCAGCCCAGTCTGTGGGGAACGAACACCACTGGCACTCCGGGTTGTCGTAACATTCCTTACAGAAGGGTTTCCGACATTTTTCTGTAACAGGAGTCACATCTGCATTGGAAATTGTCAGAAGACAGAAAAGAACGACGCCAGCGAAACAAGGGGAAACCATCCTAGGGCCTGCATGTCGAACCTGTTCCGATACACCGTTAACAATCATTAATTCGAAAGACTTGGAAGTGATTGTTGTGCGGGTAGCGACGTGGTCAGTTCGGCTTTTTATCTTCGACCCTTAGAATACAAACACAGTGGAGAACCAGCAGCAAATGATTAGAAGAATCTCTGATTTCTGAATTGATCCTCCATTCCTTTCCTCCAGATTAGTTATACTGAACCGTCGATCTCTCATTAGGAACTAGAGCGTGCGATTAATACTTCAATCCATAGACGGGACTGCATCCATAGACGGGACTGCATCCATAGACGGGACTGCATCCATAGACGGGACTGCATCCACATGCTGGCTCTCACTCTGATGTTAATTTTGAACTCGTAGACCCGGATTCAAATACGGTCATGAGTAGAGTCGCTGCGAATCATGAGGATGCGAACACACAGGAAACAAACAAGCTTGGCGATCCCGAGAGATTAGAGCGCACAACTAACAGTTCCTCGCAATAGTAGCAGAAGTGACGATTACTAGCAGCAACGAATGCATCATAACACACGCGATGTCATTTCGGAGTCGATGCACAGAAATCAGGTCCCTTATAGGGAAGACCCTTCCATCACACTCTGTCAATATCTGGATCAATGAATGGGGAGGACCACCTCGATGGTGCCGCCAAAGCTCCCTTCGCTGATTTTGACGTTTTTCACGAAAGCCTCAATTTTGTCATTTTCGGATTTTATTTCATCTCTTATGCTTCGCTTCTACGAAAGTTACGACAAGAGAAGTCATTTGTTCACGTGTCTCTCCAGATGCTTGGAGCTTTTGTTTTCACTGAACTCAACAGTGTCCTCTATCTCTCTTTCACACAAGCACAACTGCCTATCTCTCAGCTCATATGCCGTTGCGCTACCTGCTTTATGAGCTGTGTAGCGTTTTTGGCCGTATTACGAAAATCCTCTCCTCGTGCAGGCGACGATTTTGGCAGATTGTTCAAACCTGTGCATAGATCATCTCGTTTCGGCATTCAAGCTCATTGGGCGACGCTTTATTTGATTGCTTTGGTAGGAGGATTGATGCTGCAGAGATTTCGGCGCCAGAAAGAAGATGACTCCTTTTATGTTGGTCTTTGGGAATGCGTTATCAGTAAGCAAATGTTAACAAGCCTGACTCAGACTTTCCATTTTGTAGACATGGTGGGAGGTCTTCAGCTCCTGCCTCAGCTGCATATGATGTGGTCAAGACGCAACCGCATCAGCCATCCACTTCTCCGATTTGTTATTTTTATGTTCCTCGCAAAGCTCACTTCCCTTACTTACTGGTGGGTCGATTCGCTCACCATCAGACAAATTGACTCTTCAGGCTAATCTTTGCCTGGTTTCATGAGGCATTACTAGGGAGAGGCGTTCATATTGGAACAGAAACACTCAACATCTTAATTCTTTTGTATTTCATTTGTCGTTATATTTTTCAGTCGGGGCGAGCTGCTTCCCTTCCAGTATAGTAGACAGTGCGCCTAAATATGAACAGTAGCAGTTCCTGGACCAATATAATGGAGGAGTCAGAACTTCGTCAACAGGCGGCTAGACGACGTGCTAAGCTCCTCAGTCAAGGAGAGGAGAGAATCGGACGCCTTCAAGTTGGTGGAACCCCCACGCCTCAACGAAATCCCACTTCTACTGAAGACTTGTTCACTAGTCGCGACGAAGCACCATTTCCAGGATGGAATGGTGAAACACTCGGAAGTGAGCAGCGGATCGATCCTCAATGGCTCATGGATTATCTAGGACTCCCACCTCCTTCCACTATAGAAGCGACACCAAAGACAATTCGATTTGTAGACTCTATTCGCATTCCTCTAATTCTAGTTGTTGGTTGGGTTTCTGTTATCCTCTCAGCGCTTTTGGGACGTCTTTATATGAATCAGGGATCGGATTCCTACTTCTTTTTCGGAATTGACTCAATTTCCGTCTTTTGTTTTTGTCTTTTGGAAATTCTTCTTCAACTTATCAACCAACAATCTTCTCCTATGACAATAAAATCATTTTTCAACATTGAAACTGCTCTTTCTTTCTTCTTGTTAGCAAATCAATTCATATCCAAGCGTCTTCTATTCTTCATTCTAATCTCAACCAGCGTTCTTTTTTCCTCTAAGTTTCTCGCTGGGCATATTTCATTAGCAATGCTTGCCACCTACGCCATTCGCCTCTTTCCCTCTTTAAGTGCCGTCCAGATGTATTTTTCTGACTATGCTCTCTTCTCCACTGCCAGTGCCTTTAGTGTGTTGTTTGTTTCGTTCCTTGGTCGCTCTTTTGGCCTGTAACAAGACACAATAAACTGATACCATCAGGCACAGATGAGCGACGATGGAGAGCTCTTGGATAGCAAAATCGCAACTCTTTTTGCGAGTAAGTGATTATGAACCGTGTCCTATCGTACTGTTCGTCGCTCTCCAGAATACGAGAACGGGGAAGTGGTAGAGCAAAATGAGATTCTTCTCCTTCGTAAGCAGCTTCAAAACAGTAACACAACGAAATGGACAACTGAGAGAGCAACAAAGGTGAACGGCTGGGACCGATTCCTCGCCTCTGATCGCCACGTATTGTAGCTGATCCAGTTACTCCAATCACGATTGCAAGACCATCAGAAATCTTCAAAGCCACGCTCCAAATTCAAGTTTTCCGTTTCAACCTCACAGCCTCCACCCCGTCCAGCTGACGACGATCACCGAAGCTCGGAAGAAAATTCCGTCTCGATTGAGCATCATGGCGTTCATTGCAGCCAAAAACAGAAAACAAAGGTGCGACTTATCCCAATTACTGAAAATGCTACGGCTGTTTCTAGAATCATTTTTGGTTCGGGAGATTTGAATGGAAGCGACGTTACATTGGAAGACTTGGTACAGACGCATCTATTAATATTGAAATCGTTGCCACGACTTCTATAGAAATCGTTTTCAGGAGGATTGTTTGATCATCTTGGATGATTTGAGCGGGGCGTTGAGGATCAATCGCGTTGCGCGTTGTATTGTTGTGTATGTGAATATCATTAATCCATTCTTCGACCTCTTATCTGTTCTGTAGGGCAACAAACATTCAATCTTCAGTCATCATGCATCACATTCGTGACAGCCTCCTTTTTCTTAAATCACTCCAGGTGAAAAACGCGTTTCATTCCCACATTCCTTGTCTTCCCCCAGATACGCATTCATGACTCAGTATCGACAGTCGTTCTCTGCTCCTCACTCTCATCCCCAGTGATTGAAAGGTAGTCTTTCATGAAGGGTCTCATCAAGTGCTGCATGTTGTTCTTCAGATCTAGTACGATGAAATTCGGTCGATTAAAAGCTTCACTGAACTCATCCACCGACAATCATACAAACGATCAGTTCGAAGTCAAAGATTTCAATTGGCATCGGCTCGGAGAGGTAACACACCAAATCGATATTTTCAAATCGTGTCGTTCGTCTCAGCATTCTCCAAATTGGAGTCTTCTTGATGAGTCTTTCGACCTTCCTCAAGAGCTTCTCATTTTTGGGACTTCACATCCAAAATGGGAACTTGAAGACCAAACAGAAGAGAAATTGCACTCTCTGTTTGAAAGACTTGTGGGACGGACATGAATGAATTAAGAGATTTTTACAGTCCACAATTGATCGTTCATTTCTAGAATAAACTCAAATTCAATATAGAAGGGAAATGGAATTTAAAAAACTCGGGAGCGTCGTGTGAAATTTAAACCATCAAAAAGAGAACGTCTTTTATGACAGAAACAGCTACATTGCTTCACGAGACACGGGACATCCAAAATAATCATACATTCGGTTCTCTTCCTTAAATCCTTCACTCATCAACCGTGGATTGATTTGTTTGTCCACATAAGTCGTTCGAGTATCTCCTGGTCTCATTCGAACAGATCCACTGCTCGTCATATTGGCCCTTCGCACGACGTCTTGCTGGAGTGAAGAGGAATCACAATACTCCTGAAGAGATGATGTTCCACTGTTACTCACAGATTGAGGGCGTCTGCAATACCCTGGATCTTCGCGCTGTTGAGGAAGTTCTCCAGATTCTCTGATATCCATCAAAGGGTCTCTTGCGTGTCCAAATCTTCTTCTCGCATGTCCCAATGGCGAATACCTGACCGCTCTCGCACGATCCAACTCCCGTTCAAATCCATCGGCCTCCATGAGCGGCTCATTTTCATACA